ACACCCCACAGGCAGCCAGTAGAACACAGACCCCACAGGCAACCAGTAGAACACACCCCACAGGCAGCCAGCAGAACACACACACCCCACAGGCAGCCAGCAGAACACACCCCACAGGCAGCCAGTAGAACACACCCCCACAGGCAGCCAGCAGGAACACACCCCACAGGCAGCCAGCAGAACACACTCCCACAGGCAGCCAGCAGAACACACCCCCACAGGCAGCCAGCAGTGAACACACCCCACAGGCAACCAGCAGAACACACACCCCACACAGGCAGCCAGCAGAACACACACCCCACAGGCAGCCAGCAGAACACACCCCACAGGCAGCCAGCAGAACACACCCCACAGGCAACCAGCGCACACCCACAGGCAGCCAGCAGAACACACCCAACAGGCAGCCAGCAGAACACACCCCACAGGCAGCCAGCAGAATGCACACCCCCACAGGCAGCCAGCAGAACACACCCCACAGGCAGCCAGCAGAACAGACCCCACAGGCAGCCACAACAACAGGACACACCCCAGGCAGCCAGCACACCCCACAGGCAGCCAGCAGAACACACCCCACAGGCAGCCAGCAGAACACACCCCACAGGCAGCCAGTGAACACACCCCACAGGCAACCAGCAGAACACACCCCACAGGCAGCCAGCAGAACACACCCCCACAGGCAGCCAGCAGAACATGCCCCCACAGGCAGCCAGCAGAACACACCCCACAGGCAGCCAGCAGAACACACCCCACAGGCAGCCAGTAGAACACACCCCACACAGAACAATGGATACTCTCCTTTGCTATCCTCAACATCTACATTATAATAACCTTCCTGTTTCTAAATTACTTTCAATATATTTGCTTCACACTTCCTCTCAAAACCAAAAACAAAAGGCGTCACCATAACAACCAAGAACTATGCAATATCTGGTTATGTCTTACAGTTTCACATGACTGGTCGAGGTCAGGGAAATTCTCTAGGTAAGACATATATTAAGGTAGAGTAGTCATGGAAGCCTCACTTACCCATACACCTTTTGATAACTTGTATTAGGAAAAAATATGAGATCAAGTGGTATTTCTATTGAGTAAGTGAGTCTTCCATGCACCAGTCTCTCCCCTCTCCTCTCTCTCTCTCTCTCTCTATACATCAGACTCACTCCTCAACAATACTCAGTACAGTGACGACCTTCCTCCACATCACAACATGAATGCACCATCATACTAACCTTCATCACTACAATATCCACCAACATCACTATAATTTATTACCACCAACTCTATCATCTATTCTACAACCCCCTCCCTCCCCACTCTACCTACCTACCACTACCAGTCCACTCCACCACCAGTCTACCACCACCCCAGTCCATCATCACCACTACCACCACCACCACCACCAACCACTCTCTTGTCACTATCAAAATAACTACACTAAAATTTCTAATACAAAAATAATAATAATTTAACACTTAAAAGACAAAATAAGGAATTTGCTGCTACGAAGATGAAATACAATAGGTAAACCACAAATAAATCAAATTCCCTAAAATACAACACTTAATGGCAATGGCTATAATGTATCCACTTACAGGAATAAATTAAATTCTATAATCTGGCTCTTTTGGTCTTGTTATATATAAAAAAAAATGGTTAATAAGTTTGAAACGACCTATGTAAAATAATGATGCTTTATCCTCAGAGAGAGAGAGAGAGAGAGAGGTTGGGTTGGGTTGGGTTAAGGTTGGGTTGGGATGGTTGCTGGGGTTAAGGTTGGGTTGGGTTGGCTGGGTTGGGTTGTTGTTGGGTTGTTGGGTTGGGTTGCTGGGTTGGGTTGGGTTGCTGGAAGATCCAACAACAACAACAACCAACCAACAACCAACCAACAACAACCAACAAACCAACCAACAACAACCAACCAACCAACAAACCAACAAACAACAAACAACAACAACAACAACAGTTGGTTGGTTGGGGTGGGCTGGGTTGGGTTGGCTGTTGTGTTGGTTGGTTGGGTTGGGTTGTCATTGGTTGGGTTGGGGTGGGTTGTTGGGTGGGTTGGGGTGGGTTGTTGGGTTGGGTTGGGTTGGTTGGGGTTGGTTGTTGGGTGCTGGGTTGGGTTGGGTTGCTGTCAGTTGAGGTTGGGTTGGGTTGGTTGGGGTGGGTTGTGGTTGGGTTGGGTCATTGGGTTGTTGGGTTGGGTGGGTGGGTTGGGTGGGTTAGTGGGTTATTGGGTTGGGTTGGGTCATTTCTAACACCATCACAGAAGTTACAAAATCCAAAACCCAACATCAACAATAAAACCAGTGAAACTACACTCTGGGAGGCTGCTACAAACACACACACAAAAACACACACACACACACACACACACACACACACACACACACACACACACACACTATTACACCATTAGTTACGGTCACCACTAATCACCACTGTGTTTACTGCATCTGCGGTTCATTAACAGGAATGGTGATGCTGTGGTCTCTCTCTCTCTCTCTCTCTCCTTGGTGCTACTGATCATTACAATTGCCTCTGGTCTAGGAACACACTACCACACGCCACCATAACACCATAAACACACAATCAACTTTCACACACCATCATACACCACGACTCCACTATCATACACCATCACACCATCACCACCATACACACCACCACCACCATACAGATACTCAATGGCAATTTCACTTTAATTTCTTACAACACGCAGCAGGGGTTTACCATTCCTCCCTCCTTCCCAACCCTCCTCCCTCCCCACCCCTCCCTCCTTCCCCACCTTCTTCCCTTCCCCACCCTCCCCTCCCCTTCCCCACCCCTCCTTCCCTTCCCCACCCCTCCTTCCTCCCACACCTCCTCCCCTCCCCTCCCTCCCCACCCCCCTCCTTCCTCCCCCACCCCTCCCTCCTTCCCCCACCCCCTCCCTCCTCCCCCACCCTCCCTCCTCCCCCACTCCCCTCCCTCCTTCCCCACCCCTCCCTCCTTCCCCACCCCTCCCTCCTTCCCCACCCTCCTTCCCTCCCCACCCTCCCTCCTTCCTACCCTCCCTCCTTCCCACCACTCCTTCCTCCCCCACCCCTCCCTCCTTCCCACCCCCCCTCCTTCCCCCACCCCTCCCTCCCTTCCCCACCCCCCCTCCCTCCCTCTTCCCCACCCCCTCCTCCTTCCCCACCCCTCCCTCCCTCCCCCCACCCTCCCTCCTTCCCCACCCCCTCCCTCCTTCCCCACCCCTCCTCCTTCCCCACCCCTCCCCCTCCTTCCCACCACTCCTTCCTCCCCACCCCCTCCCTCCTCCCCACCCCCCTCCCTCCTTCCCCACCCCTCCCTCCCCACCCCTCCCTCCTCCTCCCCACCTCCCCCTCCTTCCTCCCCCCAATCTCCTTCCCTCCCCACCCTCCCTCCTTCCCACCCTCCTCCTCCCCACCCCTCTCCTTCCCACCCTCCATCCTCCCCCCACCCTCCTCCACCCCCCCTCCTTCCCACCCTCCTTCCTTCCTCCTACTGCTTTCCTTCCTGTAATTACCCCAACTCGCGTTTCCCACTGATGGCTGTCCCTCAAGACACACTTCACAGGTACGTCAAATTATGTCCAAACTCTCTAGTAGACAGTAGGTACGCCAAATTACCTGTCTAAGTTCTCTGATAGACAGTAGGTACGCCAAATTACCTGTCCAAACTCTCTAGTAGACAGTAGGTACGCTAAATTACTACTGTCAACTGTCCAATAAGAGACCTATGTACGCCCCTCGTCTGTCATAACAACATCAACTGTCATGTCATGAGAATTTCGTCATTCTCGTCCCGTGGTCCTGAGCTGGAGTGACAGTCATGCTTTAACGGTAGGCCGACTCCTCCTCCCTCCCTTCCACCAGGTCCTCCCCCCTTCCACCAGGTCCTCCCTCACTTCCACCAGGTCCTCCCTCCCTCCCTCCCACCAGGCCCTCCTCCTTTCCTCATTCTCTCCCTAACTGCCTCTTCTCCCTTCTCTACCTCCCTCATTCTCTCTGTGCATATCTTCTTTCTTTACCACTCTGTAACCCTTCCTCCCAGTAGGCTCTCTCTCTCTCGTCTCCCTCCTTCCGCCCCCTCCTCCCCTGTCAACAATGCACTAAACCGTGTAGTGTACAAGCCAAGCACTGTATTGTTTGTAAATACTCCTGGTGTTTATATACAGTTACCTCCAACAAGAATTCACACCTGCATCACAACCACCCAATTATGGCTACCCTCACTGTCCAGTCTACTAGCAGTCTTAGACACATCCTTTAGGCTCATTATGTCTACTAGCAGTCTTAGACACATCCTTAGTGGCTCATTATGTCTACTAGCAGTCTTAGACACATCCTTAGTGGCTCATTATGTCTACTAGCAGTCTTAGACACATCCTTAGTGGCTCATTATGTCTTCTAGTCGTCTCTGTTTATGTCTACCAGTAGTCTTAGAAGCACTTCCCATGTGGCTTATAGATGGTTTGAAGCCTCCATGGTAGAGCTGTTCTGATTAGAGAAGGAATGGGGGAAGGAGGAGGAGGGGAAGGAGGGAGAAGGAGGAGGAGGGGGAAGGAGGGGGAGGGGGTAGGAGGGGAAGGAGGGGAGGGGGTAGGAGGGGGAGCAGGATGGGGAAGGAGGGGCAGGAGTGGGGAAGGGAAGGCGTAGGAGGAGGGAGAAAAGGAGAACTGCAAAGAAGAAGAAAATAGGAGGAGGAGGAAGAAAACAGAAGAGGAGGAGGAGGGAGAAGAAACAGGAGGAGGAGGAAGAAACAGAAGAGGAGGAGGAAGAAGAAACAGGAGGAGAGGAGGAAGAAGAAACAGAGGAGGAGGAGGGAAGAAACAGAGGAGGAGGAGGAAGAAGAAACAGAGGAGGAGGAGGAAGAAGAAAGAGAGGAGGAAGAAGAAACAGAGGAGGAAGAAGAAACAGAAGAGGAGGAGGAAGAAGAAACAGGAGGAGGAAGAAGAAACAGAAGAGGAGGAGGAAGAAGAACAGAGAAGGAGGAGGAGGAAGAAGAAACAGAGGAGGAGGAGGAAGAAGAACAGAAGAGAGGAGGAGGAAGAAACAGAGGAGGAGGAGGAAGAAACAGAGGAGGAGGAGGAAGAAGAAACAGAGAGGAGGAAGAAACAGAAGAGGGAGGAGGAAGAAGAAACAGAGGAGGAGGAGGAGGAAGAAACAGAGGAGGAGGAAGAAGAAACAGAGGAGGAGGAGGAGGAAGAAACAGAGGAGGAGGAAGAAGAACAGAGGAGGAGGAGGAAGAAGAAACAGAGGAGGAGGGGAGGAGAAGAAGAAACAGAGGAGGAGGAGGAAGATTCCAGCTACCAGTGTGTGCCGTGTCACTTTCTCTTGGAGAACACAACATTTAGCAAAACACCACAAACTAAGAATATTTACACACAGGGGGGGGATGGGGGGGGGTGGGGTGTGGAGGTGGGGGGGTGGGGTGCGGGTTGGGGGTGGGTGCGGGTTGGGTGGTGGTGTCACTCATCCTGTTAGAGAGTCCGGAAAATACAGAGGGTCAACTGAAGATTAGTCGTCCCAGCTAAGATTAACCTAACCTAACCTAACCTAGCCTAACCTAACTAGTCTGTCTTCAATAATCTACTATAAAAAGAACCCAGATTAATTATACACCACACCATGTTAACCAGACAAATGCCAGTAGTGTGACAGGTGGGATGTGGTTCAGGTGTGACAATTAGCTATAACCACTACTGGTCGGAGCACTTTCTCCCAACTGACAGTAGCAAGGTATTGTGACCGCTTGGTTAGGTTAGGTCGGGTCGGTAGGTCGGGTTGGTCGGGTACCAGGTATTGTGCCGGGTCGATCATGCCCCCCCCCTGACGTTGCTTGGTTAGTGTACTACTGCTTTTCGTCATCACCATTAATACTACCATGACTACCAGCTACTACTACTACTACTACTACTACTACTACTACTTTTTTTTTTTACTACTACTACTACTACTACTACTACTACGACTACTCCTCTCTCTCAAGGTGAGGCAGAAAGGATAAAGATATGAAGTAAGTTGAAACTGCCACATAAGACAGACAGTACTACAGGGAGAGACAGTGACACAGGGACAGACAGTGCCACAGGAGACAGACAGTGCCACAGGAGACAGACAGTGCCACAGGAGACAGACAGTACCACACGAGACAGACACCACAGGAGACAGACAGTGCCACAGGAGACAGACAGTACCAGGAAAACAGACAGTACCACAGGAGACAGACAGTGCCACAGGAGACAGACAGTACTACAGGAGACAGTACTCACCTCATCGTACATAAACTGTAAGGTGAGGGCGGACTTGCCTACACCACCAGAGCCCACCATGATGACCTTGTAGGGCGGGGGCCGGCGGGTTCTTCTTGGCACCGGACATCTTGGAGGAGGAGGTTGGATTCTTCGTGGTGTCGACGGTGTTGTTGTTGTTGGCGGGAGAAGAGAGGCCGGACAGGTATTGCCCAGCACGAGAGCGGCTGCTGTAGGGTTGTCACCACGCGCTGCACCACGTCAGTCAGCACCTCCTTCCAGCTGCTGTTGTTGTTGTGCTTCTGGTGGAGGGGATGTCGGGGCTCTGCTGGGTAGTACACGCCAGGGGTCCGCCCGTCACGACTGTAGCTGCAACTGATGGCTTTCCTCTCACCTTCCTGGTTGATGGTGATCCTCGCCCCACTGTAAACACCATAAACACCATTAATATGACTGATAGTGGCCACAATCTCACCATAACACACCATAAAGCATCATAAGAAAATAAGAATAGAGGAAACTGCAGCGGGCCTATTGACAGTCCCATTTACACCCAACCCCTATCGCTCATATATCCACCCAACCTATGTTTGACTCTATCCAGCGTGTTCGAGTTAATGATGATATTTGGTAACTTGTTCCACTCGTCCACTACTCTATTTCCAGGCCATTGTTTACCTATTTCGCGTCTAAATATACATTCGTCTAATTGAATGAAATGTGAGACTCAAGTACCACCACGACCACACGTACACCACCACGACCACACGTACACCACCACGACCACACGTACACCACCACGACCACACGTACACCACCACGACCACGTACACCACCACGACCACACGCACATCACCACAACCACACGCACATCACCACGACCACGTACACCACCGACCACGTACACCACCACGACCACACGTACACCACCGACCACCGTACACCACCACGACCACAAATACTACACATAATAACGACCACAAATTGTTACGCATAACACACACACACACACACACACACACACACACACACACACACACGCGTAATAATCTAATATATAAATCCCCCCCTCCAACACCTGTACAGCAATATCACGTTAAGTCAACAACAGATGTTCGTTCACTACACATGCTCCGTTCTACACACACTCCAATGATTACTGACAACTCATCTGGTTAAACAAAGGTGATTACTACCCTCCACAACCCCCCTCTGACGGTGGGGAGGTGATTTGAAGGCAGGTGTTGATGTAAGTGTTGCAGGTGTTTTTAATTAGTTTGCAGGTGTTTTAATTAGTGTTGCAGGTGTTTTAATTAGTGTTGCAGGTGTTTTAGTCAGTTGCAGGTGTTTAGTCAGTGTTGCAGGTGTTTAGTCAGTGTTGCAGGTGTTTTAGTCAGTGTTGCAGGTGTTTTAATTAGTGTTGCAGGTGTTTTTAGTCAGTGTTGCAATAATTTTCTGACACTTTGAAACTTTTTACGAGAGAGAGAGATCGGGTCATGTACTGTAACTGTGAAGAAGGAAGCATCACGTCTCCCAGAAACTACAGCTACGAGTCAGGGTCAGGTCACCACCACTACCACCCTACTCCCTACCCTCCTCACCCAACCACCATCATCCCCCCTACCACCCCTACCCCTCCCTCACCCAACCACCATCATCCCCCCTACCACCCCTACCTCCCTCACCTACCACCACCACCCCCCCTACCACGCCCTACCCCTCACCCAACCACCACCCCTACCACCACTACCACCCTTCACCCTACCACCACCACCACCCCTACCACCACTACACGCCTCACCCCTACCACCACCCCTACCACCACTACCAGACCAACACCACACCACCACCCATCACCCTACCCCTACCACCAGACCCCTTCACCACCACCCCTCACTTACTGCTACACCTGTTGACTCCAGTTAATTGGTCTTTTATATCACGGCAGGTAATGACGTCATAATAGCAGGGGGGAATCTGACATTAACCTAACCTAACTAACCCAAGAGAGGCAGGAGGTGAAGTTGGACAGGGATAACATTTCTTAATCTATTGAGAACACAAGAACTGCAAGGAGGAGGAGGAGGAGGAGGAGGACGAGAGGGGGAGAAGGAGGAGGAGGAACATTATGGGGTGCACAATGGAGGGAAGGAGGAGGAGGGAGGAGGAGGAGGAGGAGGAGAAACAAGTTGATGGAGGGAGCGTCAAGGTCTCCAACACGTGTTCCGCCTTCTACCTTCAGTAAGTGGCCCCACACACACACACACACACACACACACTACACTGTTGGGTTAGGTTAGGTGAGGTAACTACACGCAATAGACCCCCACTTCCTGTTCAGCGTAACATGAATACAACATATTGTACGTGTGTAGGGGTGGAGGAGGGAGGGGGGTGGGGTGGGGGTGGGGGGTCATCTCTCACAAGGACGCGGAAAATAACAAGTTTCCCGTCAATCTAAACACTTGTACGATGACTCTCTCACACACACGAAGAGAGAGAGATGGTGCCTAGGTCGTGTGGGCTATATTTTTATTGACCCTCACCTGCTACCCGACCCCCCCATGCGCCCTCCTCCCCACCACCACTAACCTTTCTCCACATTCCCATCCACGCCTCCACGCCCATCCTCACCCCCGCCTATCCCTTACGCTCCCACGCCCATCCTCACGCCCCACCCACCTTCACGCCCCGACCCCACCTTCCGCCCCCCACAACTCCACGCCCCCACGCCCATCCTCACGCCCCCACCCATCCTCACGCCCCACACCCACCTCCACGTCCCCCCACCCACCTCACACCCACCCTCCGCCCCCACACCCCCACCCTCACGCCCCCCACCCACCCTCACGCCCCACGCCCACCGTTCCACCAGCGCCATCTGCCATAATGACACCTGTACGTACTAAATGAATCTCCTGTGCTGTCGCCAACAGGTGAGTGGAATTACCTGAGGACGGATGATTACCTGTAATGACCGGCCTCTCTTGTGTCTGCCGAGATGAATGACATGCACAGAGAGTCATCCGCCGCGCCGCCTGACCTCCGCCTCAACCTAGGTCGTGGGTGGCAGCATGGGCGTCACACAGCTATAACGAGACTTAAACACAAGCAGATGGGCGTAGTCGTTGGACGGGTTAATCGTGTGTGTGTGTGTGTGTGTGTTGCATGAGTGATTAACTGGTGTTTGTGTGGGCACGCGTGACTATTAGGTGTGTGTGTGTGTGTGTGTGTGTGTGTGTGTGTGTTTGCTTACGAGTGATTAACAGGTGTTTGTGTGGGCACGCGTGACTATGTGTGTGTGTGTGTGTGTGTGTGTGTGTGTACGCATGGGTAACTAAAGTATAAAATGTTTGTCTTATTCCCGGAGGTGTTGTCCAGTGCATTTAAACCTTTAACTTCCGCCTGTGTGTGTGTGTGTGTGTGTGTGTGTGTGTGTGTGTGTGTGTGTGTGTGTGTGTCTCTCTCTCTCACACACACACACACACACGGAATCGACTTCATTATAAGTAAAGTTGAAACTAATATCGTAATACCTCGTCTGCAAATGATGCTTTTAAGGCAGTTATGGTGTGGCTGGCGTGTGGTGTGGCTTAGCGGTGGTGTGGCTGGCGGTGGTGTGGTGTGGCGAAGTTGGAGATGATGTGATATGGCGAGGTGTCAGTGTGGCCAGGTATGGCGAGCCGTTTGGCGAGGTGAGTGGTGGCCGCCTCAGCGTGGGTTCACTGTTTGCTTATCACCGGAGCAAACTTCCTGGTTCCTGGGCCTCATCCCCCCCTACACACCCTCAGACAGTCACAGTCAGCCCCAGTCACAGTCACCCCCAAGCACCTTCAGACAGTCACAGTCAGCCCCAGTCACAGTCACCCCCAAGCACCTTCAGACAGTCACAGTCAGCCTCAGTCACAGTCACCCCCAAGCACCTTCAGACAGTCACAGTCACCCCAGCACAGCCTTCAGAAGTCACAGTTTCAGACAGTCACAGTCACCCCAAACACCTTCAGACAGTCACAGTCACCCCCAAACACCTTCAGACAGTCACAGACAGTCACAGTCACAGTCACCCCCAAGCACCTTCAGACAGTCACAGTCACCCCCAAGCACCTTCAGACAGTCACAGTCACCCCCAAACACCCCAGACACCCACAGTCACCCCAAGCACCTTCAGACAGTCACAGTCACCCCAAACACCTTCAGACAGTCACAGTCACCCCCAAACACCTTCAGACAGTCCCAGTCACCCCCAAACACCTTCAGACAGTCAGTCAGTCACCCCAAACACCTTCAGACCTTCAGACAGTCACACCCCAAGCACCTTCAGACAGTCCCACAGTCACATCCCAAACACCTTCAGACAGTCCCAGTCACCCCAACAACTTCAGACAGTCACAGTCACCCCCAAACACCTTCAGACAGTCCCAGTCACCCCCAAACACCTTCAGACAGTCACAGTCACCCCAAGCACCTTCAGACAGTCACTAAACACCTTCAGACAGTCCCAGTCACCAAACACCTTCAGACAGTCACAGTCACCCCCAAACACCTTCAGACAGTCCCAGTCACTCCCAAACACCTTCAGACAGTCACAGTCACCCCCAAACACCTTCAGACAGTCCAACCACAGTCACAGTCCAAACACCTTCAGACAGTCCCAGTCACCCCCAAACACCTTCAGACAGTCGTCACCCCACCCACCCAAACACCTTCAGACAGTCCCAGTCACCCCAAACACCTTCAGACAGTCACAGTCACCCCCAAACACCTTCAGACAGTCCCAGTCACTCCCAACCTTCCGACAGTCACAGTCACCCCCAAACACCTTCAGACAGTCCCAGTCAGTCACAGTCACCCCCAAACACCTTCAGACAGTCCCAGTCACCCCAAAACACCTTCAGACAGTCACAGTCACCCCAAACACCTCAGACAGTCACAGTCAGCCTCAGTCCCCTCACCTTCAGACAGTTCAGACAGTCACAGTCACCCCAAACACCTTCAGACAGTCACAGTCACCCCCCAAACACCTTCAGACAGTCACCAGTCACCCCAAACACCTTCAGACAGTCACAGTCAGCCTCAGTCCCAGTCACCCCCAAACACCTTCAGACAGTCACAGTCACCCCAAACACCTTCAGACAGTCACAGTCACCCCCAACACCTTCAGACAGCCACAGTCACCCCTTCAGACAGTCCCAGTCACCCCCAAACACCTTCAGACAGTCCCAGTCCACCTTCAGACAGTCAGTCACCCCAAACACCTTCCAGTCACCCCCAGTCAGACAGTCACCTAAACACCTTCAGACAGTCCCAGTCACCCCCAAACACCTTCAGACAGTCCCAGTCACTCCCAAACACCTTCAGACAGTCACAGTCACCCCTAAACACCTTCAGACAGTCACAGTCACCCCCAAACACCTTCAGACAGTCACAGTCACCCCCAAACACCTTCAGTCCTCACAAACACCTTCAGACAGTCACAGTCACCCCAAACACCTTCAGACAGTCACAGTCACCCCAAACACCTTCAGACAGTCACAGTCACCCCAAGCACCTTCAGACAGTCCCAGTCACCCCCAAGCACCTTCAGACAGTCACAGTCACCCCCAAGCACCTTCAGACAGTCACAGTCACCCCAAACACCTTCAGACAGTCACAGTCACCCCTAACACCTTCACAGTCACAGTCACCCCCAAGCACCTTCAGACAGTCACAGTCACCCCAAACACCTTCAGACAGTCCCAGTCACCCCCAAGCACCTTCAGACATTCACAGTCACCCCCAAGCACCTTCAGACAGTCACAGTCAGCCCCAAACACCTTCAGACAGTCACAGTCACCCCCAAGCACCTTCAGACAGTCACAGTCACCCCCAAGCACCTTCAGACAGTCACAGTCACCCCCAAGCACCTTCAGACAGTCACAGTCACCCCAAACACCCCAGACAGTCACAGTCACCGCCAAGCACCTTCAGACAGTCACAGTCACCCCCAAACACCTTCAGACAGTCACAGTCACCCCCAAACACCTTCAGACAGTCACAGTCACCCCAAACACCTTCAGACAGTCACAGTCACCCCCAAGCACCTTCAGACAGTCACAGTCATCCCCAAACACCTTCAGACAGTCCCAGTCACCCCAAGCACCTTCAGACAGTCACAGTCACCCCCAAACACCATCAGACAGTCACAGTCACCCCAAACACCTTCAGACAGTCCCAGTCACCCCAAGCACCTTCAGACAGTCACAGTCACCCCAAACACCTTCTCAGGACAGTCATAAACACCTTCAGACAGTCACAGTCACCCCCAAGCACCTTCAGACAGTCCCAGTCACTCCCATTCACTCACCACAGCGTAACTCACACACCTCACCAACAAGTGTAAACAAACACGTCGGACATCAACCCCAGACTAACAAACACTTGACCCCATAGGACAGATAGGACATGCCACCGACCCCATAGGACAGTGCCACCGACCCCAGGACAGTGCCATAGGACAGTGCCACTGACCCCACATGGGACAGTGCCACTGACCCCATAGGACAGTGCCACCGGACAGTGCCACTGACCATGGGACCCCAGTGCCACCGACCCCATAGGACAGTGCCACCGACCCCAGGACAGTGCCACTGACCCCATAGGACAGTGCCACTACAGTGCCACCGACCCCATGGGGACAGTGCCACCGACCCCATAGGACAGTGCCACCGACCCCATAGGACAGTGCCACCGACCCCATAGGACAGTGCCACGTGTGAGTCCATAGTGCCAATAGGGTGCCATACCTTGAGTCCTTCCCGTGATGGATAATAAAACTCTGGTGCCTTATTTATAGAGACTAACCCATGTTGTTGTTGTTGTTGTTGTTTACGTCGTTGTTGTTGTTGTTTACGCTGTTGTTGTTGTTGTTGTTTACGTCGTTGTTGTTTACGCCGTCGTTGTTGTTGTTGTTGTTTACGTCGTCGTTGTTGTTGTTGTTATTATTCTGGCTTAATTAATTCGTATCTATCAATAACTATAGACATTTCAAGGTTGTGTGGTGGTGGTGGTAGTGGTGCAGTGTGGTGGTGGTGGTGGTGGTGGTGCAGTGTGGTGATGGTAGTGGTGGTGGTGGTGCAGATGTTATGGTAATGGTCCCCTGGAGGTCAAGAGAGAGTGTGTGGGTGGGTGTGGGTGTGGGTGTGGGTGTGGGTGTGGGACCATTGCAACTAAGACGAGGAGTGATGTGTCTTGTATAGGCTAACATCCCACTTACTACACTGACCCTGGGACACACCCGTTATGAGGGCCTTCTTCACCCTTCCCCCTTCCCCCTTCACTCTTCATAGTTCATATATTTATTTCATATATATATAAATAACGTGAATATATTGCATACAAGGATTAATTTAAAGCATTTTATTTTTAGCTATCGGGAAACTATTTAGCGACACAGCAAAAAATCAAAACAAGATTCGGACGCCAATTTATTACATTTCGCAAATTTTTATCAAACTAAATTCTTAAAAGTTCGTACGTCAAGTTTTAGAAATTATAAAGAGATGAAATTATATTGTATCTCTCCTGACTGTATTTATTTTTAGCCCCGTAGTCGCTGGGTTGTTGAATGGCGGGAATTTATTAACAAGAACATATTTAATAACTCACAAAAGGCTCGTTAGAGATCCTTAGGAACTACGACACCTAGATTTATCCAATTAAACTAATGACCTTACGACTAACAACCCTTCACAAGAGACACAATAGGGCAGATCTCATTGATAATTTTAAAAATCTTGAAGGCGATAACAAAAACGCATCGCCAACACGAGAGGATAATAACTACAGGTCACTAAGGCATCAGGCAGAACGAACATAAGGGAAATTTAGTAACGATATATCTCGCTAACGATAAATATAACGATATATCTCAGTAACGATAAATATAACGATATATCTCAGTAACGATCAATATAACGATATATCTCAGTAAAGATCAATATAACGATATATCTCACTAACGATAAATATAACGATATATCTCGCTAACGATAAATATAACGATATATCTCAGTAACGATAAATATAACGATATATCTCAGTAACGATCAATATAACGATATATCTCAGTAAAGATCAATATAACGATATATCTAACTAACGATAAATATAATCGATAACGATATACCGACACCCACCACTACACCCTGTCTTACACCACCTTCGCCTCCTCCCTTAGTAAGGTTGTCACTGCTTGCGTAACAGACAGACAGACAGACAGACACAGACAGACAGACAGACAGACAGAGATAGAGATAGACAGACATAGATACACACACACACAAGCTCTGTCCCACATAGAGGACTGTACAGGTATGGATTACTACATCATGGTGACACCTGTGATTATGTGGCCAGGTAAGTGATCCTCAGGTGTTGGTAATGAGGTAACCAGAACAGGTGAGAATTGTTATATCTTTATGATCGTTTTTTTCTTCTACTGTTTAGTGAAGAATTGGTACTAGTTAGTGATAGTTGGGTAATATTGTCACTTATTTGGTCCAGGTGTGATTTTACTGTCCCATATATAAGAACGTAATAAAGGAGGAAATTGCCTATTGACCCATACCGAGCAGTTCCTTTTACACCCAACCCCTATCGCTCATATATCCATCCAACCTATGTTTGAAGCCATTGTTTACCTATTTCGAGCCTAAAATCTACATTTGTCTAATTTAAAACCATTGTGACGAGTTCACTCCTGGTTGGATAGTTTGAATACCTTTGTTATATCACCTTTGTTTAGCCCTGACTTCCATTTATACACCTCTATCATATCGCCCCTCACTCTACGTCTCTCGAGGGAGTGTAGATTAAGATGCTGTCCAATGCCGTCCAATACTGTCCGATACCGTCTCTTTTTGCCCATTATTATTATTATTATTATTATTATTATTATTATTATTATTATTATTATTATTACTTTTTAAGTCAACATACATAAGCAGTTTCAGTAATGCCAGTTTTTTACGAGCTTAGGTTGGGGTGTGGCTTCAGTCCTACCACCACTACTACCACTATTAATTGTTACTACCAACCACACCCATCCATCAAAACCACCACCATCAGTGTCACTATAAAGGAAACATTCCATCACTATCATCACCATTAACTGTCACCACTACCACCACCATCACTACCACTACCATTAACATCACTACCACCATCACTACCACCATCACTAACCAACATCATTCCCACTTACATCACTACCACCATCACCACCACAAACACCACTACCACCATCACACATTAACCACAACATCCACCAAACTCTACTCACTGACCACAAAAACCACCAACCACTACCACCACTCACTTAACCACAACTACCACCACTCACTGACCACCACTACCACCATCAAGGCGGCGGTCGCTACGTTCACCAGCCAAGAAGCAGGTAAAACGAAAGTGGACACAGATGACTGAACTAAAATTACCAGAGGATTGATGATATGTGTGTGTGTGTGTGTGTGTGAGAAAGAATAATAAGAAGAAGGAAGAAGAAAGAAGAGAGGAGGAGACAGGAGGAGGAGGTTAGGTCAGAAAAGTACACGAGAGCGCGGTGACAAAACAAGGGGAATGGCGTGTCAACAAGCAGTGTGGGAGGGGAGGGGGATGCAGGAGGGAGGTAGGTGATGGCGTAGAGGGAAGGATGGCGTAAGGGAGGAGGGGGGAGATGTGAGAAGAGGGTGGGATGGCGTGGGAGGAGGAGGCTTGAATAAGACAGATAGATAGGAGTGTGGGGATGTGAGACAGGTGTGGGTAAGATATGCGTGATGTGAAGATGTGAATATAAGGACCATTAAGGCCAATTTTTAGACCATAGTGGACCATAACTAAGGTGTTTGATCTCACTTTGTTATGATGTATTTTTTTATACAACAACCTTCCATTTATCCTTCACTTATTCATTTACTAGTTCTTTCACCTCTCCTTCATTCCTCCTTCTCTTCACACATAGTATTCTTCTTCCTTATCCTCCACACTTCTTACCTCACCTTCACCTCTCCTCTCCACCTCCTCCTCCCCCCACCACACGCCACAACAAAGTCGGCCTTCACGGACAAAATTCTGCTGGCGATGGTGTACACGAACCCTGTGTATATATACCTGTACACTTGAACACACACACACACACACACACACACACACACACACAGAGGCGTGGAATCCTTCTCATGTCAACAGTGTCAAGCCCCAGCCCCAGGCCAGCGACGCCCAGTGAGAAACCAATCATCATCGACAATCTAGGATATCAAGCCATGACGTCAACACTGAAGTCACCAATCACGAGGCAGTGCGCAGGAACAACATGCACCCGAGCGAGGGTGCAGTATGAAAGGTGGTGCGCCTGGTGATAGAAGTGACCTTGGCTCTTGGTTAGATCTTAAATACTCCAACTGTAGGAGGTTAAAGGAATATCTACAGGAACTTTAACTACTGTATAAGTTACCGAGATACTGTAGAGGTTAGTTGTAGAACCGACCGACCTTCTCTGGGGTTCTCATCAGCGGTAAACAATGATAAAATATCTCTGTTTTTTAAACTACTAGATGGCTTAACCCCTTTGTTGTGGAGAGGACGCTTCTTGCCTTACACACACGGGGAGAGAGAGGGAGGGAGGGAGGGGGAGGGAGGAGGGAGGGAGGGAGGAGGGAGAGAGAGAGGAGAGAGATCTGCAGAACATGCACACATGCACCTCGCTCTCTCTCTCCCTGCAAGGCAATGTTATGTACCTGCTGCACACTGTCACTCAGCTGTGTGGTGGCCTTATATAGTGACAGAGTCTATTGTTACACTGTTTTCCCTCCCTCCCTCCATTCCTTCCTCCTTCCACTTTCCCTCCATACTTCTCCCTTTCCTTCCTCCATTACCCCTTCAACTTTACCCCTCTCTCCTCCTCCCCCCCCTTCTCTTCCTTCATCCCTTCCACATCTTCCTACCTCCTCTCTCTCTCCCCTTTTCCTCCTCCTCTCCCCTTCTCTTCCCTTATTCCTCCCTTCCTCCCCCCCGTGACTACCAATTCCTATCCAGATCTCCAATTTACCTGAACACAATCCACTAATTAATATCCACGAGCCAGTCTTCAGTCTCTCAAAAACACCTTCCAGTAAAACTCCCCTCGTAAAATCACCTGGTGAGGAGGTGTGATAGTATCTAGTTAAGGTAAAAAAAATTTAGGTGTAATTTTAATGATGGTTGGATTTTCCAGGACTATTGCCACTATCACCACACC